TCCTGCAACCTCGCTTTAAGCTCCGGTCCATGGCGCCCGCCGCTCTTGGAGTTAATAAAAACAACCAACGGACACTCAGCGGCAACGACCAGCGGATTATCACCGGCGGTAGTACTTCCGTCATAATGATGCTTTCCAGAATCAAAAATCTTTCGAGGCAATGGAGTCACGTATAGCAAAACGTAAATACTCCGGCATCGTGATCTTCTGCCGCAACTCCTCTTTAGGAATCCTTATTCCACATGCAGGGCGATTGAAGAAGATTATAAAGGTGAGTGCAGAGCATGGGGTAGGAGAAGATGCACATGCGAGTGGAGAGCATCGAGCAGGAGAAGATGCGCACGCGAAGAGCAGAGTCGCGTGCGTGGAGAATCTATCAAAGTCGGGTTTAAAACCCTTGCATTAACAAGTTGTACACTATGCTTTATGACTTGTCCTTAAGAGTTTTTTGAAATTTATGCATAAAATGGCAGTACTTTGTGCTTAAATAGTTGTAATTAAGACAATGGTATAAATGCATATTAATGTAGTATAGATATATATGAAGGAGAAGTTTAAAATACAAACCATGTAATTGTTAGAAATCCTACAAGCCAGTCTCAACCATCCATATAGATGAATAACAGTGGGAAAACAGAAGTGACCATGACATAAATAGCAAAACAGTGTAAATTAGTTGTTTACTGTTGAAACGTAAGAAATAAAACTTGGATTAAGTAACGGAGACGCATCCATGATCCATCATGACTCACTTGCTTGCAAATTGAAAATATGCATTAAGAAAACTTGAGATAAAAGATGCAAGCAGAATTGTTGATCAACAAGTAGAGGAATATGCTAAAACTTAATTTGTGAGAGTAATAGRCATTGCAAACTTACCCACTTGGAAGTATAAACATCGAATACTTAGCTATGCCTATAAGGTCTTGTTCGGAGAGGGTTCTTTTTTGTGTGTAACGATGATTTCAGTTATGCTTCTCATTGAATGTCAATAAAATGCCTTCTGTTAAGTTGAGTATCCACTGTGACGAATATGGAACTGAGAAAATTGGTGAATTGTTGCCATTTTAAATACGGATAAGGCCAATCCGAACCATTTGACAGCAGCCCGAGGGCCCCCTGTCCTAACCAAGCTTGGCACACACAAGGATGGCCAAAGGCCCAAAATGGGATCTTATGCAAAGGTGGCCCATCCCATAGGATCTGGAGGGAAGCTAAACTTTATCTGAAGAACCCCTCATGAGGGATGTGAATTTAATCAAACTCCAGGCTACCTTACCCAAATCTGATAAGGATGAGAAAGGATGGATTACTATCCAACCCAACATACTTCACCTAAGCAKCCAACCCTTAACTAAAAAAGAGGTCACTACCTTTATCTACAAGCACACACTTTAGAAGTTACTCGAAATTCCTCTTTATATCATATTCTAAGTTTAGGCATGGGAAGAGTCCCTTAAGCAAAGAGCTAATCCACACATTTTCAATGGCAAGAATCAACCAAAAAACACAAAACATCAAAACATCAAAGCATATAAGGATTTGCCCAATTGGAAAATTTTCGTTMATACAAAAAACACAAAGCATCAAAGCATCCTTAATTAGAGACTTAAGTACAGGCTACAAGGGAGAATCGAAATATTACCAGTAACGTGYTCTTATCGCTRTAAAATTGGTGAACGAAATCAGGCTGCGTCTGAAGCACCTGATAATAATGCCCAACGAAGTACGTCCCAAGATTGTTTGCTACCCTTGAACAAAACAAATAATAAAGAGGGGAATTGATGTCACGTTTGGTTAACATTGAAAAAGGCAGTGGTCGGTATGACAGATAGAGAAACTATGAGGAATTGAACTATTTAACCAAGTGTTTTAAACACAAAACAGTAGCTATAGCTATGTATTGAACCAATCATTGAACCAACAACAATTAACAGCAATAGGAAACACCAAAATCAATAGAAACAGCAAACAGCAAACAGCAAACCTAAAATAAATTCTATCAAACAGCAACATCAACTATATAATAGCAAATACGGCAACCTAATCGATGTTTATGCTAACTATAACAACAAATACAGTTAAGACAGATACAATTGCATTTGGTAAAACAACTTCTGACGATAACAGCCGATGTAGAAGCAGTGCAAAGGGTGATTCCAACTAACCTGTAAATTGCAATTAGCCTGACRATAACARCCGATGTACCGAAACACACTAAGCAACCTGAAAACAGACCAAAGAGCAATTAGGAGTTCRTCGATTGGGATTAGGGTTGCGATTATATCAAATCCTGAGCCGATTTCATCGAACTGGATTAGGGTTTCGAAAAAAATGGGATTGGGATTCAAAGATTTCATCGATTGGGATGGATTAGGGTTGCGTAAGAATGGGATTGGGAATTAGGGGCGAAAAAATGGGCGATTTCAGGGTTGTGATACGCGGGATTGGGTTGGGATTCAAACGATTTCATCTCAATCTTAATCTGTTGAGCCGATGAAAGCGTTAAGAAGAAGTTGGGTTTAGGGCCGATGAAAGCGTTAAGAAGTTGGGTTTAGGGATGGCTTTAATGAGTTGTACCATGTGCAATGGATGTTGTCTTTAAGAGATTAAGAGTTTAAGAATTTAAGAGTTTTAGTCAAATGCATTATAAGATAGTATAGATGAGATTAATTTTGTTGACCAATGTAATCATGATAAATATCGAACAAGTAAGGAAGGTGCGGAATGCACACTTGTTTGAGTTTATTTTGATTTAGATGTGAAGCCCCTCAACGATGGGGGTCCGGGGGGATAGCCCCTGGCTGGGGTCGAGCTTATTTTTTTGTGAAAAATGCTTCAAAAATCCGAATTTGAAATTTTTGGCCCAATTTTTAAACTCGGTTTAGGGTTCAAAAACTGCCGTTTTTGACAGTTTTCGTATTCAATTTCGAATTCGCCATTTTGATTTTGAAGAAGTACACAGATTCATAACAATCGGTTCTTTGTTCGAAAACCACTGATTTTATCCGATTGAAATTTCGATTGTACCATCGCAATACTTCAGTCTGAAAGTGTTGCACGACTTGAGTGGAATCCAACCAATCGAAAACCCAAATTCCTAACAACGAATATAAATATAAAATGGAACCATAACTTATATAAGTTATTACAACTGAAAATATCAAAGAAAAACATCCTCAAACCAGATCATCACTCATCATGAAACATTAAAACAACAATGTAACTCCAAAAAACAGGCATTTGGGACTGTGATTGTAGAGTATCTCTTTAGATCCACACAAATAGCTAGCTACAGCTGATTACTGATTAATTATTAGAATCCAAGGCCAAAATGGTGCTCAGATTCATCGGATTCATGTACTCATTTGATCCGATCATAATCTGATCTACTATAAGTCTGTTCGCCTTTTCCGATGGATGAAATGCATCCCAAAACACATACAGATCTCTGTTCGAGCATAAGTTCGACATCGGGGTACATAATCCAATCCCGTTGTATGGCCCTTGTCCGCAGCATGCCATTTTCGCAGTAACGAATCCTATACGCAAATAGTTACACCCGAAAATGTTATTTGCATAAAGATGAAACCGTAAGATAGCATTAGTATAGTTCTATTTATGTAAATAATTAACTCACCATAAGCTGTTGGATTAGTCATGAAATCATTGTGCATCTGCTTTGTGTTTACACCGATAAACACGTGATTACCGAGTTCGTTATTGAGACCAGTAAGCATATCGTCTAATTGTGGGTTGAACAGAGATGAAGCCCTTTGAAGCTCGGCTGCACATTCGCCGTTTCTGCTATGTTGAGCCAGTTCTGCAGGTACACATCCTAACGGACCCGTTCCAGTCACGAGTACCCTGCGAGCTCCCAAGTCGTACAACCTCTGCATTCATGACGTTGAATATGTATAAGAATTATATTGCAACCATTATTTGAATTAACGGCACCAATCACTACAATAAAATCGGCTTTATATGTCTAAAACTGCTGACATCGTACTGTAACAATTTTATATAGGAACCACTAATTCTCTTTGGCCATATCAATACAAGTCTTATAATACTATATATTATGACATTGAAGACCATATTTCGCTGATTTTGTTGTAGTGGCTAAAGAGTAATTCGAATGCGTACCATTAAAATCTTTCTGTATTCGGATATGATATAAGGAACGTAATCCTGGAGATTGTATTGACGGGATCGTGCGGATAACGGGACTAGGTAATAATTGTTAACGAAGTCATTACCACCGAGTGTCACGAGGACGAGGGCATTGTTTACGAGCTCTTTCGTCTTTTCGGGTCCTATAAGTGCACTCACTCGTTGCTGGTATTGTTTAAAGTACGCAAGTTGCATCGGTGCCCGAACTATGTTCACCTAAAGACGACATTTTTGGCCCAAAAATTAGCGAAAATAAGTGATTTTAACCAACAAACAACAACCTGCTATAATGGTAGAAGTCGAAATTACAAATTGGATTCCGGTGTCATTCAGTATTCCAATCCCTGCAGACGCAAAGTTGGCACCGATAAGAAGCTTTTGCCCGCGGAGTTGTGGGCTCAAGTACGGCAGCGTTGGCTCAGACCCGATACGCTGACCTGTGGTTGAACTCAAGTCAAGTAAACATCTGGAACGAGTCCATAAACGGTTAGTAAAAGAGGGTTAAGACCGAAATCACTCAACTGATAAGGTCAGGAATGTTGTAGCCATTGGAGAAACGTCCAGTGGCTCGATGCGTGGGGTGATCGATGCCGTAAGGAGGTGCATCGGCTCGTGCAGAAGTAACCAAGTAATTGTTGTTGCCGCTGTCGACCAACGAGTCTCCAAACACGAAAAACGCACGAGGTTCAGCCTCTGCCACCAATCCGAAAGCTAAGAAGATGGATGTGGCGAAAAGGAGCACAAGAGTTTTAGAGACAGCCATGAGTAAATTAATTCGTTTGAGAATAAAAATACTCAGAAGAAGAGTGTTGTGTGTGGTTTGTGGAGGAAACAGACGATGGGGTTTTATAGACTCGTCTGAATGGGGAAAGCAAGAATAATAATACAGTGAATTAAGATAAAATGAAGGTGATTGAATGTTATTTAATAAGAGGGGTTGGTTAATGGGCAGAGGTAATTATATATACCAGTCTTTAAGATGGTCCATAATTCACCGCAAATGCAGTTTGGAGTAAAATTTGAGGGTCATATGTATGTATATCTTCATTCTTTGTACTTGCTTATTGCTATGAAAGGACGCTGTTGTTTTGAGGATCAGAAGCTGCCTTTTAATAAGATGAATTTAGTACATTTATATCAAACAAATAATGATTATATGAAACCATTAAATTTCAAGTCTTACAACACAAGGAAATTAGATAATAATCAAGAAATTAAAGTAGTGGATGAATTTTATTGAAATAAATGATGACTAATTTTGAGAATCCAAGGCTAAAATGGTGCTAAGATTCATGGGGTTCATGTAGTCAGATGAGCCTGTCATCATTTGCTGGACGATGATTTTGTTGGCTCTTTCCGATGGATGGAAAGGATCCCAAAATGCATACAGATCTCTATTAGGGCACAAGTTTGACATCCGAGTGCATAGACCAAGTCCATTGTATGGTCCTTGCCCACAACATGCAATCTTTGATGACACGAATCCTGCACAAACACAAACCATTCAACCATCTTCAGCCAAAATCAAACATAAATGCAATATATATGTATATATCTTCAAGAAAGAACTGGGTTTGTTTACCATAGGCACCCGGATCAGTGATAAAGTCCGAATGCATCTTCTTCGAGTTTACACTGATAAATACATGACTGCCGATTTTATTATTGAGATTACTCAGCATTTGGTTGAGTTGTGGGTTAAATAGTTCTGCAGCCTGTTGAAGTTCGGGTGCACATTCACCGTTTTGGCTGCGCTGGGCTAGTTCTGCTGGCACACACCCTAAAGGACCGGTTCCTGTCACAAGAACCCTCCGAGCTCCCAAATTGTACAGTTTCTGCATTTACATGACCCATCAATATTAGATTATGGTTTAATCTAATCTATACATACATTGTCTGTATTATATATAGTATATATGTAATTTGCATATGTACCGTTAAAATCTTTTGGTATTCTGATATGAGTAAACGGACATAATTAGGGAGAGCATATTGTCGAGATCGCGCTGAGTAGGGAATCAAGTAGTAGTTATTGACAAAATCATTGCCACCAAGTGTCATGAGGACGAGCGCGTTATTTACAAGTTTTTGGGTCTGTTTCGCTCCTATAAGTGCGCTTACTCGTTGTTGGTACTGCCTAAAGTATTCTAACTGCAAGGGTATCCGAATTATATTCACCTGAAAAACACCCGTATTCCATCATTCATTCTATAAAGTTGCGGATTTAGATGATTGAAAATGTATGTATGTTAGACAGAACTATACAAATTGGACTCCGGTGTCATTAAGTATTCCAATCCCCGCAGAAGCAAAATTAGCACCAACGAGTAGCCGTTGTCCTGTGAGCTGTGGACTCAAATACGGCAATGTGGGCTCCGCCCCCAAGCGCTGACCTAAATTATACGTAAAAAAGTAATCAGTGAATACGGAATATAGATATAAATGAGTATTCGTAAAAAAGTATATTTAGGAAGTCCAGTATAGTACTGATGAGGTCGGGCATATTGAGGCCATTGGAGAAACGGCCTGTTGGTCTATGCGTAGGATAATCAATGCCGTAAGGAGGTGAGTCGGCCCGGGCAGTAGTTACCAAATAGTTGTTGTTTCCATTATCGACGAGGGAGTCTCCAAACACGAAAAAGGCTCGAGCTTCGGCCCCAGGACAAACTGTTCCCAGTACAAATATTAATAACACTAAACAAAGACCATAAAATGAAAAGGTAGCCATGAATAATCTTGTTGCAATTATGGAGCAGTACTGTGTATGATGATAATTTGATGGAAAATAGATGATGGGTTGGGTTTATATAAACATCTTTTTTGAATTTTAATATTAGAAAATTCCTGCTTTTAGCTTCTTCCCTGCATGATCTAACACTAACAGTTGTAAAGAAACACCACCATTACTGATGCAGCATGGAGTACCGGTGGTTCGGATGTATTCAATTGAATTTGGTGGATATACAGTTGCTGCATGGGAAGACGATCCATGTTTATAATAATTAATTATATGTAATATTGGATTTTACTGTCGCTTTTAGGGTGAAAAAGAAATAGATTTACATTCTTAAAGGAGGTGAGGAATTTATTTGACAGCGGAGGAGGGAGGTGTTAACTGTACGTTAAGGTATGCATGTGATGAACATGAAGGCTGTGAAAGTCGTTAATAAGTAGAGCATAGCAATAAATACGTATATATTGAATATAGCGTACGATTCATGACGTTTAACAAGTAAGAAAAAAGGTGATGATTATTAAACAATCGTAGAATATCTCGTGAAACCAGTGGTGGTTGACCCTCCCACCACATCTGTATATTTCCCTTCTTTCAGTGGAGGTTTTGGACCCCCACCCCCCATTCATAGAACATGAACCATGGCCAAACAATCAAAAGTAGCAGGAGTTCTCGGTTTTTCTCCTTTGATCATGGAGGTTCAAATGCGAGGACTTTGGGTTATAAGCAAAGCAGGTGGTCGGTTTTAGGATTAGTCGGCTCATATAATAGATTTGATATCAGTTTAATAAAAAAAAAACTTTAGACGAAGATGAGTTGTCTAAAAGTAGTTGAAATTCAAATCTTGTATTATTATAAATGTATTTTATAGCTTATTTAAGCTATGACGACATAATTACCTTGTATTTAATGTATAGACTTAAAGCATCATAATGATTTTGTCCCATTTATAGTCAGCAGTCAGCTTTTGTTTTTGATTGTTAAAAAGCAATTAATTAAGGTTTATGATATCTATGGTTTAATAGAGAACAAAAATTATTAAAATATAACTAAGGGGCCGTCCACTGAATGTTTATTCAGTAAGTGTTTGTTGGGTAATTTTCTTTACCGGATGAACATAATAAGGGTTTAGAATCTAACACGGTTAGAACGGTAATAGGATGAATAGTTTTACGCGGTAAAAATGGTGAAAAAATGGAGAGTCTTACCTAGTAAGTGAGAGTGACGACTCTTACTCGAGTATGTGCTTATCGAATAAATTGTTGCATACTATATCATTTTGATGCACTATAATCTTACCTAAAAAATAAATTATAGCGTTACTCCTATCGGTAAGTACTTACTGGATAAGCATTTAAATAAACGGCCCCAAATTAGTTTTAGTTTTTTTTTTTTTTTTTGTGATGATTAATTTCTTTTTTTTCTATTAGTGAAAACAAACATGTAGTTGTTCATATCGGTAAACCACTTGATTATGTCATTGTTGGTTCATGACTTCAACCTCACTACAATAAAATCAGGTTTATAGGACATTCTCAATTTCTAAGCGTCTTAATAGACCTCTTTATATTACTTAGTTTATAGAACCAAAAAAATAAAGTGTTATATCTAAAACCGTTGTAATATGTTTATATTGACATTTTTTTGACGTCGTAATAAGTTTTCTAGAACACTTTTAATATATAATGTCTCATTATCAATTTTATAGGACACTATTTGAAAAATTGTCCTATAAAACAAGTATCCTATAAAAGTTGAGTTTATAGAAAACTTTTCAAAAGTAACCTATAAAGTTGCTAATGCAACGGTTTGTATTAAAATGTTCTTAAAAACTTGTTAAGACCCTCAAAAACGTCATATAAACTTATTACAACACCTCTAGATAAGATGTTTTATATTTTGGTCCAATAAATTAAGTCATATAAAGTATTTTATTGGGACGCTTAAAGATTGGGGGACGTCCTATAAACTCAATTTTATCGTAGTGTCCTCACGCAGTGACCATTAATTAATCTTTTCTCCTATATCAACCAAACAACATCTATACAATGACCATTCTCATTCTCCTTTCTCATTATTCCCTAATACGAACTAGATGGGACCCTACATGTTCTGAAAGGGCCTTAAATGGTCTTTTCATATTCAAAAGATCAAGAAAAAATATATTTGAACTATCGTGTTCCTTGACTTCTTTGTCGGACTCTACCAGTCCTTCCAACCTGTTAGCACTTAGATTCAGGAAACGAATTTCGTTCGTACAATGATATTGAATCGAAACCAAACCAGAAACTTATATATAATCGACATATATATGTAATTACATAAGAAATACAACAATCAACTGAGTAAGAATTGATGACTAACTCGATATCTTGATGAAAATCCAACGAAGAACAAGTATGGGATTGAGGCTTGCGGTGGTAGTCGCCTTAGACAGAAATTCGTCCGGTGTATGGTGAATTTGGACGTATATCTAGAGGATACAACAATCCGTTCAAGAAACGAACTTGAACCTGATGAATCGATTAGTCTTCCATTTGAATCTGATTAGAAAGAGAGAAGCAAAGAACCCAGAAATTTTGTATGTCTGCCAAAAAAAAAACGTGGACAGGAGAGTATTATTTGTATGCCTTAATTGTCGGGTGTAACCGATGGTAATTGTTGGACAGAGTCGAGCCGCTGCTGCACTCTGTTTCTCGTCACCAGCCAAAACTAACTAATAATATCAAGAGACCCGGCCCAAGGCCCAAGGTCCTCTTTATATTTAATATGTAATGGACAGCAATGGACCGAACTAAATAGTTAAACAATTTATCACTAGTTATGGTCTTGGTAATATAAGACACTTGAAAAATTGAGATTTGGTCTATATGGGACAAACCAAATACCAACAATACCCCACATTTTCTATTCAAACGCCAACACAACCAACCATCTATAAAATGTTATGAGTTGCTACAAACAAAAATCTAGTTTCTTGACATGTGTACGTGCATCCACATCATTGTTATGACTTTATTGTATGTTACATGACTTTATAAATACCCAAAGTACTATATACATCAAGTCCAGTCGTTACAAGACGTTGTGTGTTTGTGAACTCTTTTGAGTATACAATTTGAAACTTAAATTAGTTGTATGAGCAAGGAATTTAGCAACTCATAATCGGGTCAGTGAACTCTTTTGTACCATGTCATTTTTCATCTTTTACAATGTAGTTGTTTTACAGGTTAGTTGTCATTGCAGTTCAAATGACTATCATTATAGCCTTTATTATTGTGGTTCAAATAATGATTCAATAAGGGGGTTGTTATTTACACCCTCACCTATTAAAAAAGTCAAAAGAAGACTTATTAATAACATTAAATGATCTAAAATTTTGAATTTTTTTTTCTCTCTTATGTCTCCCCCTCCCCCTCCCCTCTCTTTCTCTTACTTTTTTGTTTTTTTAATTAATAGATAATAATTATTATTGGTCTATATTAATTATAATTTTTATTTATATTATATATTAATCAAATTTAAAACCAATAAATTGGAAAGACAATAACTTTGTTATTTATAAAAAATGATATATCATTTATTTTATAATTTTACAAATATTAACTATATGTAGTCATATAATTTGCCCTTGTAAAAATCGAATAAAAACTTTAAAAATTCATATGCAAATTCTTAATTTTCATTCTATCTATATTTTCATAGAATATATCATTAATCTTTCTGCAACTTTAAAAATTCAGAAAATAATCCATCATTTTTTTCCGACTTTAAAACGTAAAAAGTAACTAATCAATTCTTATTTAAGTTTTTGAATATTCAGATAATAATTTCATCAGTTTTCAACAATCTCTAAAAATTCAGATAATAACTCATCGTTTTTTTTATTAAAAATTCAAATATAAATTAGTTTAAATTGTAATATGCTTTTTTATAAAAAAAAATATTGTTATACTAAAAATATATAGAAAAGAAATTTTGAAAACATAAGCTTAGAGGTGGTTGGAAGAAAAAAAAAATGACTTCTTGAAAATGTTAATGAACTTAATGTTAATTTAATGAGCTTGATATTAGTTAAGTGAAGTGATATGTATTTTACTATTGCTATAAAAACGGAAGTGAAATTTGTATTTTCATTCACAAGTAACAATTTCAACATTCTCTTTTTTACGATTTCGAGCTCGTTAAGGGCTAGTTAGAAAAACAATTTTCAATTTTATCAAGATTGCAACGCTGAGGTGCTTTCAGTTACTATTTGTGATTTTCAATTTTATCAGGGTATTATTTTTAATACACGATGGCTACTTCGTACATGGCCCGAATAAATAAGTACGGACAACTATTATCTAGTAATCGTACTACGGAATTTATTT